TAGAGGCACAAGATCTTACTGGTTCATATCTCTTACTATACGGTAAAAAGTATCGAATCGAAAGCCCAGTCATTTCTCTTCTCTCCCTTCCTTTCCGTCCAATGTCTTGAATAGATCTATTATCCAGTATCATCATAATTTCCTTCAATAGTCATTTTTTCCCTACAATATTTCTTAATAGTACGTTTAAAGTTAGAAGGAAACCCTCCCGTGTTATACCCCACCTCTCTTCCACCATACACCCCGCCCGCCCATCACTCGTTCTACCTCATGGCCTATCTCATCTTTGCTTCGCCTACACCCCTGTTCAGTGCAACACCATTGTTGGTGTATCACGGGGAAACTGAAGAATTTCTATATATTTTAATTCATTTCTCATCAAAAATCGCTCATTCCATTGTCAAACCGCCCCTTTGCAATGTGCTCGACTGCTGTCTAAAATTTCGCAGTTTGTTTATATCGCAACGTTTGGTTTGTTCCATTGCACAATCCTACACATGAATTTACTATCATTACTCTTCCGAATTATCATACCATCCCTCATTCAAGACAATTACTTTCAACAATCCTACTCCATTACAAATTTTATAACACATAGAAGATCTCAAGCATCTCAGTGGTACCAACGTGAATCAGTAGGAATAAAAAGATGTGTATGTCTATAGATCTAATGACTGACAATCTCTAGAGCTATATCCTATCCGTTTAGTAAATTCAGTACTTATAATTCAACAAATTCAGAGTGACGCACGACAGTGCCATCTTCCAAAAAATCAATATCATTTAGATATTTAAAGTTAAAAACGGTTATAACTTTATACAATTTATTTCATTCCTTCGATAACCCGTATTTACTTTTTTTATAATTGAGCACAGTAATTGCATTATGGAACCCTCATTTTCGCTCTAAATTCTGAAATTTGGTTCAATGCCCTTTTGTAATACTTCGGCTGGGTATATGTTAAATTTTTACTCCATTATGAGGAGGATAACTTTAATACAGTGGACATTAGAAAGGATTTTTTAACCTTGCTTACTGTTCAATCTACTATTCATCCATTTCCATTAGTTAATTCAAAATAGAGACTTCGGTCTCTATTTTGAATTCCTCGAAAAGTTTAATGGTCTTTAAAAAAAGACGTAAATTTAATGAAAATTATATCGTTACTAAACCTACAGCTAATATTCGTGTTTAATGAAGGTTTAACCCAATACCTGGTTCCCATTTGTTCACAAAAATAAAAGCCAAATTCATGAAAACTAGATTTTTGAGCAAGGAAACAGTGAAGCAATATTTGTAATATATATTGAGTACTTGGCAAAGGAAAAAAACAGATCCAAAAGAGTTTATCTTAGTACAAGGAAAGGTCATTTAAGTGTATGGCACAACATTCTTGTTTGTGCATTTCTTTTCAGCTGCTATAAGTCATCATTCAAAGTACAGCTCAGAAATAATTACATTCTTATGCTTTCATCAAAATTTCGCTTCTCTCTCCAACCAAAACAGTGTACGGAAAATGGGAAATTTTGGAAAGAAAATATGAAATTTTGAACCAAGATTTGTTCGAAGCTTTGTACATTTATCATTGAAATTTTCCATATTCGCCTATTCTTGGCAAAAATGTACCCTTTTCTTCATGTGCACTCATCTGTCTAGATCCCATACTGCTCTAAACAGTGTCTAATAAATAAGGTCGTAGAACGTAGTATCCTTGCCATCAAACAGATCTATGACTTATCAGTAATGAACATTTGAAGATGTTAAAAGCAGAAGACCTAGAACAGCAGCAACCACCACAAAATATAGCAGCAACTGTAGAAGCAACAACCGTGGAAACGAATGTTTCTAATCAAGATCGCGGCGGACCACAATCACCTCCTTCATATTCAACACCTGCGCCATCCAGGTTTTTACCGTTTTCAAAATTTCTAAGAGAAGCAAATAGACAGCTAAACCTTATCTTGACTTCGTGGATAACTTGGGCAGTAATTTTTGCTCACTTGAAACTATGTAAGGATTTCTGAAACTAGTAAAATTGAGCAAGAAAATATTCATACCAACAGATTCCATTCAGTGCCAACAGGCACTTATTTGCCCATAGTATAATTGTATCAGAAAGTCATAAAACTCCAAATGATAATTAGAAGGAAAGGGGATGGAATGTTGTTATTAATAAACATTTTTTTGATTTTTTTAAACCATCCTTCTCCCTTCTGTACCATTCCTAAGGGGAAAGTATAATAATTCATCATTTTAAAATTACAGCCCAAAACATCAACAGCAAAAACGACGTTTGAAATTTGATATGTCTAGTAAAATACAAATAATCCCGGACAATCGTCAAGGACAACTCAATACAGCATTCCTTGCCACTGTACCCGGCGTTTTGAAAATTGCTGAAATTGTACGTATCATTCTTTTCATCAGCAGGAATGGATTATACCTTTGCGAAGACAGCAACAAAGATGCCCAAAAGAACTTGGAAAGCTCAAGAGATGAATTATAATTCTTTGATACACTCAATTTTGCAATTCTAAGAAATAAATTTTAAATGTTTCATATATGGGCAGCATCATATCCATGAAATCTAGGCTTTAATAATTCAACTCGTTTTACCTCAGTAAATCCCATTTTTTTTGCTAGAGATTGATTAAACAAAGGCGCATTTATCGCTTCCCATAAAGATATGTACTATTTAACTTAATGGAAATGAGGCTACTAAGAAGAGATCCCAGCCCAATGTACTAATAAAATTATAGGCTCTATCGTTTATATCATTCATCTTGGCAATCTGTGCAGACCGTAATGCGACAACTGCAGCTTGGACTGAAAATATCTCATTCGCAGTTACAGTCATCACTTCCGGGCTGTTAATGGGCTACGTTTGCTTTCCACATTTGACGATCAAGAATGAACCGACCAGAGAAGGACTCATTGTCACGGTATTTTTCATGTTCTGAACTGTACCTGTTTGAACTCAGTGGGAGCACTATTTTTCTAGTAGATTTCGAACAGCTTACTGATTAGCACATATCGCAAAAAGTCGTCAAAGAACACAACTGACAGGACTAATCTGTAGAGAAAAAGCATTTTTTAAAGTCTTTCACGACATCCAATTAGTTTTTATAAATTTTCCCGAGATCTGAATATCTCTTAATTAAGTGAAGGATTAAATGTTCAATACACTTGAGAGAAATACTTTTTCGCTTTATAGTATTTTTTACTTAAATACAAAAAATCGGAGTGGAATTTTTGATACACTCGGCACTTTAAAGATGACTACTTACAAACTGCATACACTGAGAATACTAAGTTGGCTCTCTCAAATTTCCAGGAGCTCATATTCTACGGTACCTCAACACTTCTCTTTTTCATAGCAATATGGCTTATGGTACATCTTTCGGCAAGCCCGGTAACTTATGGACGTGGTTCTGCCATCATCGATGCAGTAAGCTTATTTTTAAAATAAGTTGAGGGAGTATCAAACTGAAAAAGTGTTTTTTGAATAAGAAAGATTCAATTATCTTTTGAAGCATAATCTTTTATCCTTCGTCTTTACCCTGTCGGAATGACTGTGATGCAAAATAAGTAAAAGTGCAAATTACTGATAGTTTGGATATCTTAGTAATAACTGTTGTTGCTTGATCTATATACAAACGATTCTAAAACTGTTGCAGATAATATGTGTAGCATTGACAATACTCTCCGGTATCGAAACATATGCTAAACTGAAAGCTTGGCGAGGCGAAAATGAACCCACATCTCGAATAGTGCAAACAGCTAGGCCGATAACTGAACCAAGCCGGTACTACGAGCCGAATGAAGTACTAGAAAGGAGTCAGGGATCTGAACTGGCATGAGTTAAACCGTCAATGAGAAACACTGTTTTTTGTTTCGTAATTAGTACTGTTATTATCAGTAATTATTCTGGGATAAAGGCCTTGAATTCTTCCAGTTAAAAGCAGTATTACCCAATCAAATAGAAGGATGAAACTTTCGTTTTCAGTCCCGACGTATTCGATCCCTCCTTCAAGGCCTGCAAACTGCTCCCGATTTGAAGTCTATGACTTAAAAAGAAATAAAAGAAATTCCTTGAAGTTGAGATTCCATTAAGTGTCCGAAAGTGACACAAATTAAATCAGTCAACAACTGTATTCATGGATAAGTGATTTGGATACTCTCTATTGTGATTTTATCGATTCTATCGATAGTACTTTTCTCTTGAAATTCACAAATATTAAATCGTTCGCTCGGAAAAAAAAAAAAAAAAAATTTTTACCACTCATGATCAAAACGTATAGTTCAAAATTAAGTTTCTGTGAATTTTCAAGAAAAGTTCCGTGAGCATTCGCGAGCGAGAATGACGGCGAAGAAACGCCCAAAATTTCCAGTGCTGACAGAAAGTAAAGTGAGAATAAACATGTCTCAAAAAAGAGCAGTAAGTGATCATCGAATGTTTAGATTCCATTCGGAGATTGATATAAATGAAGATGAAGCAATTTCCCAGCTTATCTTATATATATCTAACTCTGAAATCCTTGAAACTATACATAGTTTCATACATTTTGATTAGAAGTCTAACTTCGTATTCCTTCCCGCTTTACCTATTTACTCCATCTCGTGACGATCTATGCGATACAATCGCTGTCTTTAAGAGTCACAAAACATTAAGATAAAAAATGGAATTCAAAATATCGCATCAGACCCAATAAAAAAACTGCATAATTAATAGCGTATGCATTACCAATATCATATTTCAAATGATTATATCTTCATTTGTTTAATGACCGATCGGACCTTACTATATTACATGGAAACAAGCAAAAGTAAAAGAACCAAATCCTTTCCGAAGTAAAAGGATCGAATCCAGAAAATTCATAGCAGTTGAAGTGAAAAATTAAACAAAAATAGAATAGAAGAACCATAATGTGTAACAAACCTATCTGATTGTTATATCCACTAAAGTACGAGAAATTTCAAACTATTCTAAAAAACTAACCTTAAGTTTGATAAGATTTCCTTTTTCCAAAGCATAATTGAGAGGAGCTTTTTGAAACCTCATTTTCTCTTGCACCATCTGTAACTCAATGAATTTTTTACTCGATTCTATCAAATTCCAAAAATTACTCATTTTCTGGAAAGATTTCTGTGACCTTTTATCAAAATCCTCGAATTTCAAAAATAATGGATTCATAAATAATTAGATTCGACATGTACTAAATGGGAATCTGTTTTTCATGATACATGGGAAAAATCTAAATGAAACTGGGTACATGCCCAGACTTGGTTAACCTTAACAACACTTTATCTATTATATGAAAAAATTAACCAGTTCAATATCTTTGTCAGTATAATTATAATTGACAGCTTTCTGAATATCCGCCTCCTTCTTTTCAACTTGATCTATCGTAAGGATTGCGAGATTCTGCAATAATGTGATGAAGAAATTTTCACTAATCAGTTATTGCCACATGTAGCTTGTACAGCGTGAAAATTCCTAATGTCCTGAAGCACACAACAAAGCCTGCCGAAATATAAAGCAAGATTTATAATCTTTCAAATTCTTTGTTCTTCATTTGGTGGGAATAGAAGAAATTTGGGGTAACGCCAGAAAGTAAAAATAGAAATTCCAACATTCAAATATGTTTTCAAAGTGTTTTCAAATTAGCACGAGAAGTGCGTGATGAAATGGGAGTACACTGAAAAGATATAAAGTGACCACGAAGTGGAATGAACAGTCCAAACTTGATCTGAATTCTCAATTCTATTTCAAACACAATAATTAAAAATCACTTCTTCCTGAATAGTACACGGGCATTGCTGATTAGAGCATTAAAACAGAGAGAACTTACATTAGATTTCATAGCATCGTACCATTTATTGAATTCATGACTAGTAAACTCAGAATTGGAAACAAATTCGAGGCGATAGACACGCTCTTCTTCACCGTGCTTCAGCTTGAGTCCCTTATTTGTTCGTGTATTCTCCAACTGATAAACTTTGGCTGTTTCAACAACATCCAGAATTTGAGCTGCCTAAAATATTCTTTAATTAAAAGTTTTGCGTTTTTCTGAGTCCAAGTTGCTTATTTGAACAAAAGAAGTACGACAACATTACTTCATATTTAGAGCAGCCGTCCTGCTCATATATGTATGCTAATAAATATGTGGCGATGTCTGCTACCTCAACTGTGAGACACAATCAAGTACATATTTAAATCTTACACGATAAACACTTCTGCCTTCTTTATTTCTTCCGATACCAATGCGAACAAAGCACCCAATCACCGTTTTGTTAAAAAAAGGTGCATGAACGATCTTAGAAATTTTGAAACGAGATAAACGTATCCTCGACAAATCAGCAAGGCAATTCACCTGTAAAACATGTACATCTATGGCATAAGTTAACAAAATGGATGGTTCAAACTGTAATAAATTCATTACCACTAAGACTTACATCAGTAATGATGGACACATTAAAATCTGGTTCATTCCTAAAAGTTCGCAGAATACAAAAGAATTTTTTATTAGCAAGAATAACTGAGATTCCGTCTTATTAAAAAAAGTGGATGAACGACCTTAGAAAAGTATTCGTTAGCATTCATTAAAAAGTACCAATTCTTCAACGTCACCAAAAATAATGATCTTTAATCTGAGTTACGAATTTGCCCTATCTAGCGAAACTTTATTACTTTAAACAAAAGAATGTAATTTTTTCATATTGCTATTTTCAAAACACTTTGTTTCAAATACGTAAAACGGTATGTTATGGCATAAAACTCACGTTACCTACCTCTCTTTTTTTTTCAGGCGACGGACTACGAGTTCTACTTTTGCTTGTACTCCTACTTGTAGATCTACTACTCGAACGACTTGACGAGCTGGAACTCTTTTCATAATCATCATCGCTACCACCATTTCCAAACACTTCATCGATATCCAGTTCTGACTTATGCGATTGTGTCTTTTTCTTCTGAGCAGCTGCAATTAAAAAGTTCAAAGATTGCGGAATCCTAATTTAAACCGCTTCATGGACCATGCGAAAGTTCTACTTGCTATAGAAAATTCTAAATTAAGTGGTAAAAGATACCACATTATTTGAAAAGATATTCGTTAGCATTCGTTAAAAAGTATTCGGAACAAACCTTCTTGTTTCTCTTTTCGTCGATTAACAAGATCGGCCATTGCATTCTTCTGCTTCTGCTTTTTTTGGATTTCTGATGGACGTTGAAACTCATCGTATTCATCGCTGTTATCTTTACCATCGCTCGCAGAACCAGCACGTAAAAGTGCTGAAAATTGTACATGTAAGCATATTTATTTGAAAACGTGGTGATAGCAGGAAAGAATCAAAAAACATATTCCATAGAAGGTTAACTTGAGTTATAATTCGCAACATACTTTTATTGGACATTTTACGAAATCTATTATAGATTACCTTCAGCTAAATTTTTAAAATTTCATTCTTATACCGCCCTCATTCTACTCCTCCTATCTCCTTCAACTTATCATTTTCGTATAGCTCACTTTCACCTAAACATCCTTTTTTCTAAATAATTTCCTTAAAACATCCATCACTTTTCCCTAAAACAATTAATTTCAGTATCGCCGTCAACTTAATTTATTTTATTGCTGTCTTCTGTGAAAAAGAGAAACAACTTCCAACACCTCGAAACATTTACAAATAGTACTAAAATGAAGTTTCATCAACTCAAACTACTTCAGTAACTTAAACTACATTAAATGATTTTACTCTCTTCAAACGGCTCAATCCTTTTATATAACTGATAAAGCACAGACCTATACTTCCATCCACGCCATTTCTTTCATCGATGTCACTTTCAATGATCTTTTTTCTAGCTGCAATAATTTAAAAAATGAAATATTCTTTGTTCTTAAAAAAAAAAAAAAATGGAGCACAAAAAATAAGCCAACTCATTCGTCTATTACCAAACTTCATACCTTCTTTCTCTCGTTTCTTTTCTTTTTCCCGTCTTTTCTTCTCTTTTTTCTCTTTTTTTGACAGACCTGAGCTGTCTTCTTTTTGAGCTTTGATTTTCTTCTGGATTGCATGTCTGAAACGTAAAGATGTACTGATTAGTTATAACCATGAATAAAATATCCCTTGTTCTTTTTATCAGAATCATCAACAGCATAAAAATGGCAATGATTTTCCACTGACAAAATAATATTCTATGAGCTGAGTCCGAATATGAGTAACTATGATAAAAAGACTTGAAATTAACCGAAGTTTTAAAAGCCAAATACCTCGCACGTAAAATTTCCCGCTGTTCAACACGTTTGAAAATTTCAGCTTCTCGATCTTTTTCCGTCATTTCTTCTAGCCGACGCCGATCTTCTTCATCCAAGAACATATCATCATCGTATTCATCAACTAACGACTTCTGCAACCAGTTTTTTTAAATAAATGGATAATACTGCTAACCTTGCTTTAATTTTTTTTTCTTTGAATCTGCTTCTTATACACTTGGTACAGAACCCATCAACAAACAATATTACATAAACTTGAGAAAGAAATCATTAGAATGATAGGAGCCTCGCTTACCTTGTCACTGTCGTCACTGCTATCTTCGTCGCTATCAGTTTGAGCCCGCACTTTTTTACTACGGCCTCTGAATTTTTTATCAGTTTTACGTTTTCTACTGCTTGTCGCAGCTTCTACATCCGAATCCGAATCTTCTTCTGATGTACCTGGAAGACGATAAGAAGTTGTGTAAGGTAACAGAATGTGAACTACTGATTCGAATCAGCAAGATCGATTTTTTTGAAATGGAGAGTGGAACAGAACCACGGATAAATATAAATAAATAAATAGATTAAATAAATGAATAGATAAGAATGTAAGTACAAATGTAAATATAAATGAATAAATAAATGAGTAAACAAGCAAAAATGTACATATATATATATATGTATATATATATATATATATATATATATATAT